GTGGGCTGAAAACTGGGGGGAGGAAGGGGAAGTGTAGGGGGCGGGTTTCTAGGATATACCCTTTGCTTGGTTGATGATGCATGGAGGGGATTGGAACCACGGCAATGAAATGATATACAATGGAATGAATGTAAAACTAAAGTTCTCTCATGTAAACTATCATATAATTCACAATAAAACATTAAAAAAAAAAGCAAATGGAAGAACTGAGGAGCCAAAAGAGCTTAACTAAAACTTTCAAAGAGCAGCTCTAGAATACAGAGTCAGATATTATAATGAAATATGTAAAGACCTTGAGTTGGAAAACTAAAAGGGAAGAAAACGCTCAGCATTTCTCAAGCTGAGGAAACTGAAAAAAAATTCAAGCCTTGACTTGAAATATTGAAGAATTCTAGGGACAAAATTTTAAATTATGCAGAAAGTATCAAAAGAAGTTAGAAGGAAAACACAGAGTCAATGTATATTTTTTTAAAAAGTTAATGTTTAACTATTTCAAGAGGTAGCATATGATCAACAGCCAATGATACTAAATGAAGAAGTCCAAAGTGCACTGATGGAATACACATTGGAATCTTTTAGCAAACTGAGGTAGCACTGGAGGTAGTCATTCATCTATGTTAAGAAACTTGGAAGACAGCTACCTAGCCAACTGATTGGAAGAGATCCATTTTGTACCCATTCCAAAGAAAGGTAACCCAAAGGAATGCAGGAATCATTGGACAATATAATTAATATTGCATGCAAGTAAAGTTTTGCTAAAGATAATTCAAATGGCTGCAACAGTACTTTGGCAGGAAACTGCCAGAGGTTCAAGCCAGATTCAGATGAGGAAATGGAATGAGGGCTATCATTGCTGACATCAAATGGATCTTGGCTGAAGGCAGAGAATCCCAGAAATACATTTATCTGTACTTTATTGACTATACAAAGGCTTTCAATTGTGTGGATCATGACAAGGTATGGACAACATTTCAGGGATGAATAATGTGGAACACTTAATTGTGCTCATAAGGAACCTGTACATAGACCAAGAGGTAGTTATTCAAACAAAACAAGGAAACACCAAATGGTTTAAAATTAGAAAAGGTGTGCACCAGTGTTGTATTCTTTCACCATACTTATTCAATGTGTTTGCTGAACAAATAATCTGAGAAGCTGTATTATATGAAGAAGTACATGGCATCAGGATTTGAGGAAGACTCATTAACAACCTGCGATATGCAGACGATATAACCTTGCTTGCTGAAAGCAAAGAGGACTTAAATACTTACCAACGAAGATCAAAAATCACAGCCTTCATAATGGCTTGCACCTCAATGTAAAGAAAACAAAAATCCTCACCACTGGACCAAAAAATAACATCAAGATAAATGGAGAAAAGATTGAAGTTGGCACCAACTTCAAGAAGCATCAGTCAAAAAATCAAATGTCATATTGCCTTAGGCAAATCTACTGCACAAGACCTCTTTAAACTGCTCAAGAGCAAAGACATTAGTTTGAGAACTTAATTGAGCCTAACCCAAGTCATGATATTTTCAGTAGCCTCATATGCATGTGAAAATTGGACAATGAATAAGGAAGACCATAGAAAAACTGATATATTTGAGTTATGGTATTGGAGGAGAATACTAAAGGTACCATGGAGAACAAACACATTTGTTTGTTGGCTCCTTAGAAGCCAGTGTGGTCAGACTTCATCTCACATACTTTGGACATATTATCAGGAGGGACCAGTGCCTAGGGAAGGACATCATGTTTAGTAAAGTGGAGGGTCAGCGAAATAGAGGAAGACTTCCAATGAGATGGATTGGCACAGTACCAGCAGCAATGGGCTCAAGTGTAGCAAGGATTGGGAGATTGGTACAGGATCAGGCAATGTTTCGTTCTGTTGTGCAGTGTTGCTATGAGTCGGTACAGACTTGACTGTACCTAACAAGAACCATTCAGAAGTGAGCTGCATCTCCTTCTTCCTAGTCTGTCTTATTCTGGAAGCTCAACTGAAACCTGTCCACCACGGGTAATCATGTTGGTATTTAAAATGCTGGTGGCATAACTTTCAACACCACAGCAACACACAAGTCACAACAGTACATCTAACTGGCAGAAGCATGGTAGTTATTCCTAAAGTACCTGGTAAAATAAAAATATAACAAAAATTTCTCAGTGTTATATTTTTTGGGTTTTGCCAGTGTTAACTCTAGCGTAGCAGTTACAAATTGGGCTGCTAACTTCAAGGTCAGCAGTTTGAAACTACCAGCTGTTCTGCGGAAGAAAGATGAGGCTTTCTGCTCTTGTAAAGATTTACCGCCTCAGAAACCCTGCACAGGGTCGTTATGAGTCAGAACAACTCCACGGCACATAACCACCACCATCTTAACACTTAGGTTAAATTAATTGGCCTTTTACTTTCCGAGAATGATGAACGACATTCTTTCTGATTGTAAAGTTGGGCTGCATGAAGGAACATCACTTCAGTTTTTGATCCTTTTTGTAATGCAGTCTGATCCTCAGTGGTCAAACTTTCAAATCCTATAAGTAAAAATAACATAATTGTTTGAAATAGAAGATGAAAAGATAATTTTTAGCCATAGTATTTAACATTCTAAATTGTTGTTGTTGTTATGTGCCGTGGTTCTGACTCATAGTGACCCTGTGCAGGGTTTCTGAGGCTGTAAATGTTTATGGGAGCAGAACGCCTCATCTTTCTCCCGTGGAACAGCTAGCAGTTTCAAACTGCTGACCCTGAGGTTAGCAGCCCAATTCATAACCGCTACGCTACTAGAGCTCCTTAATATTCTAAATTATTCATTTACTAATGATCTGAGTCTCTAATGTTCCCTTAGAATAATCATGATAACTTCAAAAATTTGAAAAAAAATTATTGATTCTACATGGTTATATTTTGGAGCACTTCCACCATTACGAGAAATAATACTTAAAACTATATCAAGGGTCACTATGAGTAAGAACCAACTCGAAGGTACCTAACAACAACATAGCAAAAAAGGAGTCCTCTTGGAAGTACAGACCCTAATAAGCTACTAACTTAAAGGTGTTAGGGGTTTGAATTCACCCACAGGCCACTTGGAAGAAAGCCCTAGCAATCTACTTCCAAAAAATCACAGCCATTGAAAACCATATGAAGTGAAGTTCTACTCTGAATTACATGGGGGTTACCATGAGTTGGAATGAGCTGGACAGTAACCAGCTTTGTAGAGCAAGAGAAAATTGAATACAGTTGATGTAGTCCCCAAAATTATGTTTACAACAAATTATCTGTACATGTAAATAAATAAGTTTTGGCTTTTTTTTTTATTTAAAAATATAGATCATTTTCAAAATAATAAAACTTACAATCAACCATATTGTTTGTTTTAACTTAAAAACATCTTTTAAACCATTTGAATAATATTTTTTAATATTTCTATTTTGATCTAGCTGATCGATTAAAGCAGACAAAATAAGCATTTTTTTTTTCATTTAGATGCAGCTCTGATAACAAACTATATGCTTTTGTTTTCCTAAAATGTCCCCTTCCTTTAAAACAAGAAAATCTTTTTAAAATGAGCTTAAGTATAAAATACTTTAACTTCTTTTGGTTACCACCTGGTAGTCCTTTAGTGAAGTCCATTAAGCCCTGTATCCGTAGCACTGCTGTCTCTGAGAGTCGTGCAAAGCTCAGCTGTGGATTTGTATATTCCTGAAACTAACCCAAAAAAAGAAATAAGATTAGTAAAGTTTATTTTGCTTCAGTAAACTGTTGAAACTTTTATCTTTGTGCTATATTTTTTAACAATTACAAGTTATTTCTTGCCAGTAATGAACACATACAAATTTCTTTGCTTCCTCTAAAGGAATTGTATATTTTTGATGAGCAGCCACAATATTATTAATGAGCTGATGTTCCTCTTGTGTTAGCTCTATGCTCTCCTGAATCTATAAGAAAACATAGGGACAATACTGCAATGTAAATTACTTGTTAAAAAGACATCATCATTAAGGAAACAAGAAATTTTATAAAAAGAGTCTTACCACTTTTCCAGATCTAGTTGTGGATGACACATGCTTGTTGTCAACTCCTTCTTCCACTTGGATGTTAGAGTAGTAACTATTCTGTTTAAAATTCTTTCGAAGTCTCTTTGATTTACATTGGGTTTCTGTGAGCAAACCTGTAATATTACAAAATTAATATTAAAAAAACTTTAGGCGGTGTAAATAACATTATAGGACTTGATAAGAATTGTCCTATATTGTACATCTGTACATTTGATCATAGATTTGTCCTTTTCAAAGAAGCTTTCTTATTGGACAACTATGCAGGCATCAAATTTACTGTATAACTTGTTCTTTTGAGTTCCACATTACCTAATCTAAACAGAAGTACATAATCATCCTAAACATGAGTTAAAAGTCAAGTTTGGATCTTCAATCTATAAATTTAGACTTTTTTATATTAAATACACTTGCACATTAATTTTATTTTGGAAGCAACAAAGAATACCAATTGGGACAGCCATTTGAATTACTTTATTTACGAACTTTAATCCTTAATTTTCATATCATAAAGTCAAGAGTATAGCCTGTGAAAGTTAAAATGAGCTAATTTAAAATTTTATACTTTCAGACAAGACATGGCAGTGAATACCCTTTTTATAAAGTGAGCAATTTTTATTTCTGACTTGTAGCCTTTATGATTTTTTTTTTGAACCTTTAAATGCTATCTCTGCTTGAACAGCAGAAATTACCATGAATCACTAATAAAACTAATTCAAATGTAATATTTTCCTTTTGTTATGTCTGTTACTTTTTCCTAAAAAAATTTAACATACCTCTTATAGAAGGAAGAGCCTTGATGGCACTGTAGGAGAAGCCTTGGACTGCTAACCTCAAGATCAGCAATTCAAACCCCCCAGCCACTCTGAGGGAGAAAAAGGAGACTTGCTCCTTTTAAAATGTATAGCTTCCAAAACCCTACGCAGAGTTAATATGATTTAGAATCAGCTAGGCTTGGTTTGAGATTTACTAAGAATAGAAGCTCTGGTAGCATAGTGGTTACAAGTCAGGCTGCTAATTTCATGGTCAGCCGTTGGAGATTGCCAGCAGTTCCAGAAGAAAGAAGAGGCTTTCTGATGCTGAAAAGATTTACATCCTTGGAAACCCTATATAGGTTCTCTATGAGTCAGAACCGACTCCATGGCACATAACCACCACCACCATATAAAGAATGGAGCCCTAGCATGGCGCTGTAGGATAAGCACTGGGCTGTTAAACACAAGGTCGGAGGTTCAAACCCACCAGCTGCTCCTCAGAAACTCTGTGCTATGAGTCTGAACCGACTCGATGGCACTTAACAACAAAATATAAAGAATATATCAACAGATAAGACTAAAACAAATAGTCTTAATCCTTTCAAAAAAAAGTCATTGCTGTTCCCCAATCTCAAAACCTACTGTATTGTATAGTCACTGTAGTCAAAACAGCTTGATATTGATACAATTACAGACTCACAGAAAAGCAGAACAAGAATTGAGAACTCAGAAGTAAATTTATCCACTATGATCAGCTGATCTTTGGCAAAGGACCAAAAGTCATTAAATGGCTAAAAGAAAGTCTCTTAAACATTATTAGAGGCTCTGGTGTGGTGCTGTAGGTGAAAGAACTAGACCACAAGGTTGGTTTGAACCACAAAGTCAAAAGTTAGCAGCCCAACATTCGGAGCTCTGGTGTGGCATTGTGTGTTAATGAGCTGGACTGCAAAGTCATTTGAATTGCAAGATCAGCTGTTCAAGCTCACCAGCCACTTCATGAAAACCTTATACAGGGTGGCTATTTATTGGAACCTACTCGACCGCACTTAATAACTAATCCATGGCATGAATACATTATCAAACATAACTGAAAAAACACAAACAGCAGAAGACAAACAAGATGACTGTGACCTCCTAAAAATTAGACAGTTTTGAACATCAAAAGATTCCAACAAAAGAGTAGTACCAGAACCTACAGACTGACATAAATAAATCATCAAACATATGAAAACACCGAAAAAAACAGAAGACAAACTAGACGATTGGCAGCTCCTGAAAATTAAACATTTATGCTCATCAAAAGACTTCAAATGAATAAAAAGAGAGTATATCGACTTAGAAAGAAAAAATTGGCAATAATATATCTGATAAGGGGCTAATCTCTAAAACTTATAGAAAATTTCAACACATCAACAACAAAAACAAACATTCCCATTTTAAAATAAGCAGAGGACATAAATGGTGGTTGGTGGTTGTTGTGTGCCATGATGTCAGTTCCGACTCATAGAGAACTTGTATAGGGTTTCCGAGGCTGTAAATCTTTATGGGAGCATAACCACTGGTAGTTTTGAACTGCTGACCTTGAGATTAGCAGTCCGACTCGTAACAACTAAGCTACCAGAGCTCCTTACAGGACATGAATAGACACTTCAGAATAATAATAATAATAAGGCATCCGGGCAGCCAACAAACACATGGAGAAATGCTCATGATTAATAGCCAAGGTTGTTGTTAAATGCCATTGAGTTGGTTCTGACTCACAGCGACCCTGTGTAGGGTTTCTGAGGAGCGGCTGGTGGGTTTGAACCACTGACCTTGATGTTCAAACTAACCTTGCTGTCCAGTTCATTATACTACAGCACCACACCAGGACTCTAATGTTGTTGTTGTTAAGTGCCGTCGAGTCGGTTCCGACCCATAGTGACCCTGTACAGGGTTTCCGAGGGTGTAAATCTTTACGGGAGTAGAAAGCCTCA